TTCTTATTAGTTGTAAGGGGGAAAACAGTGACCACACAGTGGAGATACCTTGACCAGATGACTAAAATTAATATTCTCAGTGAGGGACAGATAGCTATCATGTGCCTCTAGATGTAATAATCTAAAACACCTGAGTGTTACTTTTAGTCTTTTTTTCTGGTCTCACATGCATTTAATCATGAGGAAACAACTAACAAACCCAAACTGGCTTCGGTTCTTCAAAAACATCAATATTATAAAGACAATGACTTCAAAATGATTCCAGATTAAAGAGTAAAAAGACATAAGAATGAAATGCATTATGTGATCCTAGACTGGACATGGGATTTGGACAACTGACAAATGAGATAAAGACTGTAGGTTAAAAGTACTTTTATCAATACTAAATTTCAATTTTTTTAACTTTTAATTTTTTAATTTTAAACATGTTGGGTACAATTCAGGGTTAGGTATACAAATGTTTATTATGCAGGTACCTTTGTTGATGAGGTGTACAAATTTCCAGATTTTGATAACAGTACTATGGTTATGTCAAAGAAAATCTTGTTTCCTGAGGAACTCACTGAAATATTAAGGGATAAAGAGGTATGGTACATACAGCCTACACCCCATGATTCAGAAATGTGTACTTTATAGCACTGTATGTAAAGATAGAGAGGATATGATAAAGCAAATGTTATTCTTGCCATTTTCTACAAGTGTGAAATCATACTGAGATAATCTTGCTTGTAGGAAGAAACAAATATTCGTTATACCTGTGTTAAATTGCTCCTCAGTTGCTCTTCAGTAAATCAGTTTAGACAACTATTCTAACATGAAGATTATTTTTTTTTTAAAAAAGAGGTTAGATATAACCTCCTAACAAGATTGTTACAATTACACTTAACTGCTGTGCTACAGACTGATTCCTTTAATGAATACAGTTTTTGTTTTGAGTCAGAATCTCACTCTTCATTCTGTCACCCGGGTTGGAGTATATGGTGTGATCATGGCTTACTACAACCTCGACTTCCTGGGCTCAGGTGATACTTCTGCCTCAGCCTTCCGAGTAGCTAGCACTACAAATGCACACTGCCACCCCCAGGTAATTTTTTTTTTTTTTAACGTAGAGATGAGTTCTTGCTACGTTGCCTAGGCTAGTCTCAAACTGCGGGCCTCAAGTAATCCTTTAGCCTCGACCTCCCAAAGTACTGGAATTACAGGCATAAGCCCCTATGCCTGGGCAAGTTCTAACACTTTTGGTTATCCATAGTGTCTTCAAACCCCTTGTGATCCACCACAAATTGAACCATCAATAGTTTTTGTTCAGTGACCTGACATGGAGGAATCGTGCTAATATGATCCAACTGTGGTCCTCCAAATATTTCCAAAAAGAGAATAGAAGTTTTGCAAATGACTCATAATGTGTAGTAGTGACACAAAAAACTACTATCATCAGTTTGCTTATGAGGCAAATGCATTTTATTTGACAGGGAAAATGTTCATATTCTAAGGCAGCAGTCAGCAACCTTTTTGGCATCAGGGACCAATTTTGTGGAAGACAAACTTTCTACAGACTTGGTGGGGAATGTGCAATCAAACCTCACTGCTAATATTAATCTGTATTTGCAGCCACTTCCCAGTGCTAGCATCACTGCCTCAGCTTTACCTCAGATCACCAGGTATTTGATTCTCATAAGGAGTATGTAACCTAGATCCCTTGCATTTGCAGTTCAAAATAGAGTTCGCGTTCCTATGAGAATCTAATGCTACTGCTGATCTGACAGAAGGTGGAACTCAGGAGGTAATAGGAGTGATGGGGAGCGTCTGTAAATACAGATGATGCTAGGCTTGTTTACCTGCCACTTGCCTCCTGTTGTGCTGTCTGGTTCCTAACAAGCTACAGACCAGTACCAGTCCATGGCCCGGGGAGTTCTAAAGGAATTATGATAGCCTGTTCTAATGAGATAGGCAGTTTGTACTTATGAGTCAACCATAGGAATGAGCCACACTCTTGTGTCCTGTTCTTCAAAAGGCAGCTTTTCCTTATAGGGTAGTCCTTTCTACTTTTTTCAAAACCAAATGCTCTTTGTTTTGCTTCCACGACTCCCAGACAATGACTATGCCACCAGATTCCTAAGAACCATTTTCTTCCCTGAAGAATATTGTTTTATAATAAATACCTACAAATCTATTTCTTACTTTATCAGAACTTATTTCTGAGAGTATTCCAGTGCCACATCTAAAACCAGAGCATTTAATCCAAACCAAATATGGTCCTTATTAGCAGAATTGCATTGGAAGTATTGTGCTTGGCTAAAACTAATAACATTTGGTGTTGTGTATACCTTGACTCTTCTGCTCATGTTGAATGCTCCTTAAATAAATTAGAGGCTCATGCTAGTCAAGTTGGAAATATCAATCTTGATACTTTATCTTTTGTAAGATTTATGAGTATCAAATATTGGTTCTTAACTGGGGTTTGAAACTTACTGATGCATTTAATTTGCCCTTTGGTAGCATACAATTTGTCAAGATCGAGGTATCTAAAGTCTTAAATGCAGTAGAGCAGCTAATGTTCAGACATGGTTCTATAAACAGTCATTCAATAAAACAGCAAGAAAGTCAATGGAGAACTGATTAAAAATTTTAGTTTTGAAGACAAAACTAAAGCCTAGGCTTTGTTACGTAATGAATTGAAGGGAGAATATCAACATAAAGTCGCTGATGTAGATCTAGGAATCTACTATTATGTTTAGGACAAATTAGAGGGATTATTAAACCCAGTGATGGGTACTCTTCAAGATTTTAACTCATGAGGCAAAGTAATGGATGTACAGCCCAAGTAAAACATAAAAAAAATCCTCAATCACACAAAGAACATTTCTCCATAGTTAAAAGTCTCCATTTTGAACTTTGAACCAATTAGCAAATAACTCTGCTTCTTTGAAGTCTCACCAGTTTCTCACTTCACAAGACTGGCCTTAAAAATCACCCAAATCCAAACCCTTCTTAACTTCCTAAACTTGAGAGATTCTTAAATTTCTCCTGTGTGTGTGTGTTTTCTTTTTCTCCTTTGCTACAAGAGGCTATATAAACCTGACTTTGCAGGACTTTTCTTCTGCTGGGCTCTTCAAATTTTCTTTCTTTCTTTTTTTTTTTTGAGTTGGAGTCTCACTCCGTCGCTGAGACTGGAGTGCAGTGGCCGCTCCCAGCCACCGCCGTCTCTACCTGCTGGGTTCCAACGATCCTTCCGCCTCAGCCATCCAAGTAGCTGGAACTACAGGTGCATGCTACCACACCCGACTAATTTTTTGATTTATTGTAGAGATGAGGTCTTACCAAGTTGCCCAAGCGAGTCTCGAACCCGCTGGCTCAGGCAATCCACTCGTGGGATTAGAGGCTGAGTCACTGAGCCCGGCCCAAATTTTCTTATAAACATATAGTCTAGCTACTCAGGGGAAAAAAAACCAAAAAACACTATTACTATTTAGGTAGGTTTCCTTTTTAACATTATCTTCTTAACATTTCCTTTGGGCATGTTTTGCTTGGTTCTAATTTGACATGGTTCTAATCTTCCTATGTATCTCCTGAGTTTTTGAAAAATACACTTTTGGAAATGTTAGGTAAACTTATTCAAGAGGCAAAAAATTCTATACTGTTATCTTGATAGAGTACATACCAAAATTTAAACATTACATTCCCCTATTAGACATTCAGATGTTTTCCAGCTTTTGCTATTATAAACAAACCTGCGATACATCCTCAGAATAAATCTCTGCAACTACAATTACTTAGTTGAATGATATGAACATTTTTTGGTTTTAGCCACATACTGCATATTTGTTTTCCAATAATTTTACCCATTAACTCCTACCTGCATCCACTAAACTCTCACCAGCATATCAGGAGAATCTTTTTTTTTTTTTTTTTTTTTTTTTGAGTTCGAGCCTCACCTTGTCGCCCAGGCTGGAGTGCAGTGGCACACTTACGGCCACACCAGCGTCGATCTGCTGGGCTCCAGTGATCCTTCTGCCTCAGCTTTCCGAGTAGCCGGAACTACAGGTGCGCGCTACCATGCCTGGCTAACTTTTTGACGTACTGTCGAGATGAAGTCTCGCCAAGTTGCTGGGCTGGTCTCGAACCCGTGGGCTCAGGCAATCCTCTCACCTCGGCCTCACAAAGTGCTGGAATTACAGGCTTGAGTCACCGCGCCGGGCAGGACAATCTTTTAAATACAAGTTTTGCCTACACATTTAAAAGTTTTATAAATATTTAATTTACATACAACTTTTGGAAAAATTCCCTGTGCAGATCTTTTGTTCTCAATTGGCCTCTGCAAATCTCAAACTTACCAGATAGAAAAAGTAACTGAAGTAGCACCTAGTGGAAATGCAGGAAATATTAAATATTAAACAATAAATACCACAGGCATAGGAAATCAGATGGTAGTTCCATATAGACAGGCACATGCAGGAATCTAAGGCTTAAAATAATTCTATCACTTAAATTCTTTTCAAAAACTTTATTGACAACTATTGTTTTTTTTTTTGAAGGCTTTTTGATAAGGCATTGTCTGAGAAAAGATTAACTGCAGAGTTGAATATGAATGATCTCTTTTATAGACTGCTATATGAGTGGAACACTGAAAAAAGAACGTTAACTATTACTCCATTTCACCATGGTTTACCTGAGAAAGTACTGAAAAAGTATGTTCTAGTATCACTGTTGTAATTAGAATTCGGCTGAACATCCACAAATGCCCTCTCCTTAGAAGTGAATTAATGAATGAAAATCAGCGATGTTCGCTTCCACAACCACAGACCCTCCAAAACCAACCCAAGACTCTCCTCCACCCACTCCCTCCACTTCTCCACCCATCGCAAACCAGTCGGCCCCTGGCTAGCCGAGACGCAGCGGGTGTGCCTCAGCGCAGCGCATGCGCCTTACCTCGTGGTCCTCCGCTCGTTTCCACCTGGGCTCGGAGAGGTCTCCGGCCGACGCGAACTACAACTCCCAGCATCCTGCGCGCGCGGGACGGAAGGCCAAGTGCGTGCGAAAGCGGCTCCGGGGGATAACGGGCCAGTGAGGGCCGCTCCTCTTTTGATGCGGGCTTACGTCTCTTTCTGCCAGTGGCGTCAGCGCTACGCAGGGGCGGGTCGCGGTGGCGCAAGGCGGCGCAGGGCGGGAAGGGAAGTCGTGGCGGCGGCGGCGGCAGGGACGGCAGCGGCGGCGGGGGCAGCGGGAGCGCCGGTGCTGTCAGCCAGGCCGTCGGAGAGATGGGCGAGCCCGGGTCGGAGGTGAGTGGTCCGTGTCGTGCCTTGGAGGTCTCAGAGCCGAGCCGCGGAGGGTTTTGTGTTTCCTCCCGCCTGCGGCCTGCGCGCGGCCGCAGCCACGGGCGACCCCGCTTCGCGTCTGGGGCCGCCCCGGCTCCATTCCGGCGCGGGTGGGAGGGGAGCCCGCGGCAACAATGGCCGCCCGGCGTCCCGGCCCCCGCACGGCCCGGTGCTCCTTGTGCCGCTGCTCCGCAGGGCAGCGACACCGAGACCGGTCGCCCTCAGTCGTCGGCCTGCACCCCCCTCCCGAGCGGATGGGGATTCCGAGCGGCTGGCGACCCTTTCCAGGTTCTGCCCTGCGGCTCCGCGTCCGCCGGGGCCGGACCGGATCCGAGGAGCGCTGGTCCTAGTCGGGTTTGCGCGGAATGCGCTCGGTTTCCTCCAGAGCTCTTTGTTATTAATCGTTCCTTTTGGGAAAATCGCTTTCTACACGTATGTGTCTGAATAGATAAGCATGTTTTGGCTTATTTTTATAGACAATCGAATCTGTCCCTCCAGCTGGGCCTGTGGCATCTACAACGGATGAAAACGAAGATGACATTCAGTTTGTCAGTGTAAGTAGCAACGGATAATCGGGTTTTTCGAGTAGCGGACTGTGGCAATTCATTCTGCAGTTTGACCTCACCAGGTCGTTCAGCAGTTGTCTATGAGTGCCTGATACGTACTAGTCATAGCAGAGCATGGCGGGGGTGGGGGGGGGGGGGTGATTGAGAGGTTTACCACAAGAGGTATCTGGGCCACCTCCGTAGCCATCACAAAGAGTGTAGCCTAAAGAACGTGTTGTGCATTTAATCTCCCCTCTCATGCCTTCGTTGAGAGCCGTTTGATGGAGACAAAATGCTGGTGCCTTTAAGACTCTGTTTTGAAAAGGGACAAGAGTATCTTCTAAAAGATGGGAAAGGGAGAAGGGGGCTGCTAATGAAGAACAAGGAGTTAGGAAACAAGAAGAGTCGCAGGAGCCCATAATCCTGGCATCATTGTTGCTTCTTGACTTGAAGGCAGGTGCCTTGGGGATGTCACTAACCTCTGAGATCATCATGGGACGGCATAGTAATAATTGATGCTCATCGTGAAGAGTCCTGTGTCATCTCACCGGGAACGTGCTGTGTTTTTGAGTTTTTTTCCTTTGAGAGAGTAGTCTTCAAGCATTAGTTAAGTGTTAAACAGGCAGTTTCCTGGGCCTCACTGAAGATCTTCTGAATCAGAATTTCAAGGTGGGCTTAGGAGGGGCAAATGTAAGGACATAGAATTTCTGAGCACACTTGGTAAAGCATTGGTTTTGAAAGCAGAATAGAGTGCTATCATATATTTTGAGGTGATTTTCATTCACAACTGTTAAGGTTTTAGAAAGGCTCTGCATGAAATGTTCTACTTCTACCCCAGAGTACTTTTTTGGAATGCTGTAGTTAGTTGCAGTTTGGTATTAGAACGGTAGAATTTTTTTTTTAAATAGTGTGTCCATCTAATGTGTGTATAACGATGTAAAACTGGTTATTAAACACTGTCTTCCCCAACATTAGGGCCATTTTGGTGATCCATTGTTCTATGGTGTTTTTGTTGGTTAGTTTAGGAGTCCTTAACGAAATTGTTTTCTTGGCTTTCTTCCTTTTGCAAATATATTGTAGTCTGTCTTTTTCAATTTGAAGTTTTAAGGATTTGGAGTGAGTGGTGAGGGGCTGAACTGCTGCCTTCCTTCACTGTGGGCAGAAGTGTATTTGATAAAAGGATTCAGTGGCTCTTTAGGACCAATATTTCAGTTTCTTCCTGAACCTTGATATATTTGTGAATAGCGTATTTATCATGATGATGTATGGCAGAAATAATAGTAGAAATCACATACTTTTCAAAATGAACTTTGGCCCTTACTTTGAGAAACACGGGTCAAATCTCTAGGTTTGAAAAACAAATGCTTGTTTTGTGAAATAAATTGCAGTGTAGCTTGTGACTTGTTAATATAGTCTTTGCATCAGGAATAAAGAATGTACCGTCAGTGGATATTCTATCTGATAGAATCTCTTACATTTGTTCTTGGACCCAAATAAATGTTCAAAGGTTTGGTAACCCCAAATGGGTAAGTGAGTTATATGTTAAGTGCATTTACAGTACTAAAAGAATCCTTAAAAAAAAAATGTTTCCTTTGTGGACTGGTTGCAGTGTCTCACGACTGTAACCACAGCATTTGTGAGTCCTAGTGGGTGGGCCCATTGAGTGCAGGAGTTCAAGACCATCCTGTGTAACATAGTGTGACCTCATCTCTACAAATCATTTTTAAATTAGCCGGGCTCGGTGACTCAGCTGTAATCCCAGCGCTTTGGGAGGCTGAGGTGAGTGGATTGCCTGAGCCTGCGGGTTTGAGACCCGCCTGGGCAACTTGGCGAGACCTCATTTCTACAATAAGTCAAAAATTAGCTGGGTGTGGTAGCGTGCACCTGTAGTTCCAGCTACTTGGAAGACTGAGGCGGAAGGATCGCTGGAGCCCAGCAGGTCGAGGCTGCATTGGCCGGGAGTGGCCACTGCACTCCAGTCTGGCTGACAGAGTGAGACTCCAACTCAAAAAAAAAAAAAATTTAGATGAGTGTAGTGGCACATGCTACTCAGGAGGCTGAGAGGGGAGGATTGCTTGAGTCCAGGAGATTGAGACTGCAGTGAGCCTTGGTCATGCCACTACCCGGTGGCCTGTTCAACAGAGCAAGACCTTGTCTGAAAAAAAAAGTCCCTGTGTGTTTAAGTGTTACCACTTAAATGACAATTAATTGGGTACATTTAATTGTCTTTTACTTCTCTCTGTGTCCCGATTGTATATGTGATTCCTTCAGTTAATGCTTATTAAGATGAAAAACAGTTTCCCTTTTGAGATACAAAAGAAGCATTTATAATATCGCTTGTTGATTTACTCTGGTTTGGATTTCTTAGTGCTTATTAATCTCATTTTCCCACTGTTAATCCAAATGGTGGCACCACATTTCTATTGTAGGTTGCAAAATACAGAGCTTGAAACCAAACACATCATGCTGAAGGAAAGGAATGATATAGATGTGGAGGTGCAAAAATGAGCTCTTTTGCTTAAATTTTATTGAAATATAACATAGAAGTGCACAATTTATAAGTGTAGCTATTTGATAAATTTTTGCAAAACTGCTATTCCTGTGTAAACAGCTCCCAAATCAAGAAACAGTGTTACTATGGCAAAAACTTTCGTTTAATTCTGTTATTCTTATTTTCTATTCAGTTTATTTATTTATTTTTATTTTTTGAGTTGAAGTCTCACTCTGTCACCCAGACTGGAGTGCAGTGGCACACTCCCAGCCACTGTAGCCTCGACCTGCTGGGCTCCCGTGATCCTTCTACCTCAGCCTTCCAAGTAGCTGGAACTACAGGCACGCGCTACCACGCCCGGCTAATTTTTTGATTTATTGTAGAAATGAGGTCTTGCCAAGTTGCCCAGGCGGGTCTCGAACCTGCAGGCTTAGGCAATCCACTCACCTCAGCCTCCCAAAGCACGGGATTACAGGCTGAGCCACCAAGCCCAGCTTTTATTCAGTTTAGTAACACAATTCCTTATTCAACTACTATCTTTATGTCTTTCTTTGAAACGGCAGATACTATATCTGATTTACTTCTGAGAAACTGTTGTATCCAATAGCTGATTATGTGATTGTTCACAGTGCTGCTATAGTTAGGAAACAAGAAAGGTCATGGGAGCTCATAATCTTGATATTATTGTTGCTTCATGACATAAAGGCAGATGCTTTGAAGATGTCACTAACCTCTGAGATTATCGTGGGAGGGCATGAAAAGGCATAAAAGGCATATATAAAGGCATAGAAACTATTGAGGGAACCCATCAGAATCTTAATAATAACATCAGATTCAGGTTTCTGCCAAGATTATTGATACTATGTGAGATCATTGGAAATTTTGGAATAGTATAAGAAATATATAATATTTATAATAAGATATTAATAATAAGATATTTCACAAATAACTTCAGGAGTACATTCATTGAATATATAGCTGCAGTAGAAGGGAGTCAGGCAAAAATAAACTTATCTTTTGGCTGAATGTGTTGGGGCTGTAATTTGTTCAATAAATAAAAATAGTGTTGAAGCTCATAATATGCAAATCCATGAACTAAGTACCTTAGTGTTACAAAGATACATTGGAGATACGTTCTGTCTTTAAGTATCAGTATGTTAATGAGGATGATGAGACAGGAGATGAGAAGTATGTAAATAGTTCTTATAGACATTAGAACATTCTTTAATAAAAAAGTACAAAGTGTTATAAAAAAGGACATAAGACTTGCAGTTTACCACTTTTGCATAGGTAGTAAGTATTTGTCTGTGTTTTAAAGGGCATTTTGAGTAGAAGAAACAAGGAAAGATATCAAAATGGGAAGGCAGAGAGGTTTATGTATAGTTCTGGAAGGTGGGGTTTTCTCTTTTTTTAAAAAAATGCTGAACTGTATTCGATCTATAATGTAAGCACAGTTGAAAACCATTTGAATTTTTGCCTTTCAGGACTATGAAGTAACTTCTCTGCACGGGGAAAAAAGACAAAAACTTTTTATTTTAGATTTTTTTTAGATTTATGCTCAGAGTGGCAATCTTTGTTTTAGAGAATTCTTTGATTGTAGTAAACTACTTACAGACCATATCTTGGTGCACTGACCCCTCTTTTCAGTTGGTAGGAATAGGTGTTTTGGCTTTGAGAATCAGTTTTCTAATAACAGGAATCAAAGCTTTTTATTTGTTAATTTTTTTAAAAACTTAGGATATTCAACTGTGTTCCTAAACTGTTTTGTCTCTGCCACTGAATTGTGTGGCACCGGGAATAGGTACTTTTAAATTTTTCTTATTGGTATGAGAGGGAATGAAAATAATAGTTTACTAGTTGATGGATAGAACAAATTCAAATAAAATACCTTGTAATAGGAGGACTGTGTGCATTTATACTTGTTAAAAGATAGAAGTAGTAATTATAAATATTGTAAGAATTATTTTTTCTTGATTTCTGTATTATAAACATTACTTTTGAGGAGTTGGTAACTTATTTCTGATCAGTGTTGTAAAGTATTCAGAGATAAGATGATGGAACTAGTCCTTTTTCTCTTATTGAAGGAAGAGAAAATGTATTATCTCAGAAACTTAAGTCATTGATTTAAAAATAGTATTTATACCTTGAACTACTTCATAATTATAGTGACCACACAGCTAGTTGTGTGTTTAGAGAACCAAGTGTCCCTCACTTAGTTTTCCCATCTGTTAAGTGGGATAGTAGTAATAATGTAGTATCTCACCTTATAAAGCGATGTGGGGATTAAATAAAATAATGTACATGAAAAGCTTAGCACAAGACATGGTGCAGAGCTCAGTTAATGTTATTGATTAGTACTAAAATTAATGGAGTAATAATGTTTTAATTCCTTGAGCTCATTATGGTGGAAGTTCTTCCTTATCCATTGTGAAAGTTAGCTAAAATGTATACTATTTGTTTATAAGGAAACTTTTCCTTTGGGGTACTTGTCTTCCCTTATTTTTCTGCTCAGTCTACTTGCCTTTTTGATAGTCTTTAACATGATTCACCTTCTCATTCTATCACCTCATCACTTCTAACTCAGTAATTATTTATTGAGTGAATGAATATTCTAAATGAGTTCTGCTTTTGCTCAGTTTTAGATTTTTATTTTTTATCTCTCTTAATTAGTTTGAATAGTATGAAATTATTTTTTTCATAGTTCAAAAATGGCTGCATATCAGTCTGATGGTTTACCCTAGTAGTAAACTTCTGATAGTCTCGTGTCATCTATCCTCACTCTTGCCCTCTACTATTTCTGCAGCTACTTTTTACTCCTCCTTGTGACCATTTTCATTACTATTCTGCTTTTTCCTGCCCATTTTAGTTTTTGCCTTTGTCTTGTCATCCTTCATCTCCCCCTTTTAAATTTATTCTCTGTTCCTGCCTGTTTCTCTGGCTACCTGGTGACTTTCTTAGTTTGCTATTTCTGTAGGCCTGTAATAAAGGTTCCTAATGCACATCTCTTAAAGGAGCAAAGTAAGGTGATTATATCAATGGGAAAAGCTATATGAAAATATATGTTATATTTTTATCTCCTGTGTGTTCTTCTTGGATTGAATGTATGATTTTGACAATCTTAATTACCAGGGGTAAGCTTTAGTCTTAAAGTAGGTGATTAGGCTCTGTTGACTATATATTGGACAATATTGTTTCTCCTGTTCCTCTTCTTTTTTCTTTTAACTTCCATCTTTATAGCTTGAGCAAAAATCTTAATTTCTTTATTATCGATACTGGTTCAGAAGTTTTGCTCTCTTGTTTTATCTTGGTCTATGTATTATATTATTACCCACAAGGATAGTAGATTCTTGGTTGAGTAGAAGTCATAGCCTGGGAGAAAGAAGCTATCTTTGAGACTGAATGCTTCTTTTAAGGAAAAAGAGGATCATTAACAATATCTTAGCTACTATCTCCAACAGCCAACTTCCTCATCCTGAGAAATCTTTCCCTCAGCTATATTTCTTCTCCTATGTTCCTTTCTCTTGTTTCCAGCATAATAGATTTCTCAAAAGAATAATCTTTACTAATGGCCTTTTCTTCCTCATTCTACACTTAATTTTTTTAGAGCCTGCTTTTCAGTGCTCCCTACTTGAAAATTGTTCTCTCAAAAATGTCTGGTTGCCAAATTTAGTGGCATTTTCTTGGTGCACAGTGTTTTTGGTCCCCTTTAGCATTGGCAGCTTTTTGTTGAGGTGTGGTGGTAATCATAGTTTAATTTAGGTCTAGAGATTACAGTCTTCTAAGGGAGCAACTCTGAAATCTTTATTTCCAGGTGTGCTCATACTCCCAGATTACAAGCCTGAATTTCCAGCTGTCTGCCAGATTCTTCTATGTACCACTGACACTTCAACCCATAAAAATGTTAGCTTTTTGGCTGGTTGCGGTGGCTCCCACTGGTAATCCCCGCAATTTGGGAGACCACAACAGGAGGATTGTTTGAGGCCAGGAGTTCAGAACCAGTTTGGGCAGCATAATGAGACCTCCCCTCCCCCCAATCCCCTTGGTGTGAAGAAAGCATGGGTGGAAAGAAAGAATGGAGAAGATTCTGGGTTATATGTTTGACTCTGTAGGAGATGAAGGCGATCTATTTGCCAAAGAATGCTTTATTTTGAGCTTGGACATCTTAACAGACTGTTGATACCTTCTCAGATGAAAAGTACTAGATCATAGAGAAAAATTTAGGGGGGAAAAAAAAGAATGTCAGTTTTCTGTTCTGCATTCCAAATTTATACTAGTGGCATTGGTTTTCTTGTAGTCACCTGAGCTTAAAGCCTAAGAGACCACTTTGACTACTTAGTTTTGTTTTGTTTTTAATAGCCAACCTTTTGGGGTTTTCCATTTTACCTGTATTCTTGTGTATGTACTATCATATTATTCTCACCATCCTCACTATTCATTCTGCATTATTATGTTCCTGTACTAATTAGTTATCTGACTTTCCCCCATACTCTTGTATATGATTAAGCTTCTTGAAGCACAGCTCTGATGATGTTATTCTCATCTTAGTATTATTTGTTGATTTCCTTTTGCCTATTGAATAAAATCTAGGCTTTTTTATTTTCATTTTTTAATACAAGGTCTCACTCTGTTGCCTGTGCTGGAGTGCAGTGTCATGATTCTGGCTCACTTCAGCCTTGACCTCCCAGGCTCAAGTGATCCTCCTATTTCATCCTTCCAAATAATTGGGCTTACTGGCATGTGCTCCGGTGCCTGGCTAATTTTTATATTTTTTGTAGAAGAGATCTCACTATGTTGCCCAGACTAATCTCAAACTCCTGGGCTCAAGCAGTCCTCTCATATCATCCTCCCTAAGTGCTAGGATTACAAGCATGAGACACCATACCCTGTGAAAACCTAGACTTTTAAGCCTTGCATTCAAGGCTTGGTCTGAAGAAATCAACATGGATAGAAAGAAAGAATGGAGAAAATTCTGGGTTTGATGTTTGTAGGAGATGAAGGCGAGCTGTTTGCCAAAGAGTGCTCTATTTTGAGCTTGGGCATTTTATTTTTTTGAGCTAGAGTCTCACTCTGTCACTCAGGCTGGAGTGCAGGGGCACACTTGCAGCCACCCCAGCGTCAACTTGCTGGGCTCCGGCGATCCTTTCGCCTTAGCCTTCCTTCCAAGTAGTCGGAACTACAGGTACGCGCTATCACGCCTTGCTAATTTTTTGATTTATTGTAGAGACAAGGTCTCACCAAGTTGCCCAGGCTGGTCTCGAACCCGTGGGCTCAGGCAGGCCTCTCGCCTCGGTCTCCCAAATACTGGGATTGCAGCCTGAGCCCTCAAGCCCAGCCAAGCTTGAACATCTTAATAGACTGATACCCCTTCCAGATGAAAAGTACTAGATTATAATATCTGCATCCTTGCAGCACTGTTCCAGTATTAATTTTTCTTTCCCAAGCAATTGACATTACCCTAATATCCTGTAGGGATTTAAACTAATCATTTCTTATTTATGTATTCAGAATTTTTTGTTCTGCTACTTTTGTTCTGGTTATTTTCTATCTGTGAGTCTTCCTCTTCAGAGGAGGTCCCAGGCAAAAAAAAAACTAATTGTTTTAAATGCTAGTTTGGTTTGAATAACTGTTTATGAGTTGTAAATTTGTTCAATTCTTTCTTTTATAGGAAGGACCATTAAGACCTGTTCTTGAATACATTGATCTGGTCAGCAGTGATGATGAAGAGCCTAGCACCTCTCATAGTGATGTAAGTACATTACATTTGATTTGCATCTCTCATGTCATTTAAGAGGTATTCTCCAAAGAGAATTATCAAATCAACGATTGCTGTGTTTAGGAGCTATGGTACTTTAGAGAATGGCCCATTTCTGTTAGAATGGACCATAGCAGGCAAACAAGGAGTTGTTTGCCCAGAACATCTCCTACTTTCAGTTTTGTTCCTCTATTTTGAGTGAGGTTATGAAAAGATAATATGACTCTAGGAAATTATAAGCCTTAGAGGTGATATCTGATAAAAGGGAATTGGAATAAAAACTGTCAGCTTATTGGCTCATCTTTCCCTTCTTCTTTCCTATGCTCTCCTCAGTTTCCCTATAGAACTGGAACCTTTTCTTCCAGAACCAGGTGGCCACAGAAAATTTGTTTTGTCTTAGAAAAAAGGATTTGTATAGATCCTTTAGGAAATGGAATGTGGGAAAGGGTTTATAAGTGATACATTACTTTAGTCATCATCCCTTTAACTGCCTGTTTGCCCCACATATTTGGAGTTATCTTACCTGTGACATACTGTTTGTGAGTTTGACCCTTAAACCAATACTTCTCTTACCTGAGAATTGAACTAATTGAGCCCTTTGTAGCAGTTTTGCTTTTTATTTGTCTTTGCCTTAGCCCAAACTTCTGTTAGTGGACTGTTTCCTTGTTGGATTAGAGAACTCCTGGTTCTTGTTCAAGGTGGCCAGAAGCTTCTTGCCATACAATAGAGGGGATTGAGACTTGGACTCAGAATATTTGGGTTTGAGTCCTAGCTTTACTCTTTACTAATTCTGTGGCTTTGGATAAATTAAGAAACCTTTAATTTTTCTAATCAAATGAGATTAATACCTACCTCACAGGGTTGTTGTGAGGATGAAATGAGGTAACAAATATGTAAGCTCCTTGATAACTGGGAACCATAAAGTAGGACTATACAATTGGAAAGTTTTGTTATTCATCAAGAGTGAATGACAGGATTTTTGAAGGAGCTTAAAAATGACTGCAATGGGGGAGTTTTCGAAATTTTTTTTCTTCAGTGGAACTTTCCTTTTTTCTCTCTGCCATCATTAGCTTCCACTTACCGACATGTATATGTTGAATGGAAAGTTTTAAAAAAATTATTATTACAAGTGGCTTCACCACCTCTTCTTATTCTAGCACAGGACCAAAGTAGCAGGCCAGGATAGCACACTTGAACTTAGCTTGTTTTTACACTCCTTTTTCATAAGTAGAGTCATAGATTAATGACAGTGGTTGATATTGGGTCTTTGGGGGTAATGAAGCTTGTGAATTTGACATCTGTGATCCCTTTGTTGGCCTTTAATGGATTGAACCTTTTTGTTAAATATTATAATTTAAAGATTGCGTTCTACTTACTGGACATGCATCTCTGCACTTGAAAATTAACATATTAAAAGCATTTTTTTTTCTTCCTTGGTTTTCTTGTTCATGTGGATAACCCAGAGAATGCCTGAATCTAAGGTGCCATCCTCTGAGAATCATCGCCCAGAAATGTGCTCTAGCTGCAGTGTTCCTCTTTCCATTGGAGATAGCAGCTCCTCCTCTGGGAGTTGTTCCAGCAGTCCACAAAGGATAGTTTCTCAAACTTCCTCTGTTGAGAATCCATTGGAGAACCAGATTAATGTTCAAAATAATTCAGATATTAAGATCTCTGAAACAGAGACACTTAAATCATCACAGAATTATCAGATTCTGCCTTCGTCTCCACTTCTGGTCCCCCAAGAATCTTTGCCCTCTTCTGAGGTCAAGGAGGATTTACCTGTAGATTCATCTTCAGCTTCACAGCGTGGACAGGATGCCATCCTCTATCTCCAGACACAAGTAGCTGAGATGTCCCGAGTAATACGTGATCTGCAGTCCAGGAGCTGTTTTAGATTTCATCATTCTAGGCCAAGTGAGAATTCTTCAGTTCCTTGGGACATCTCTACCTCTAAGGAAGAAAATATATCCACAGTGGAAGAAGATACTGATTGTAAATCCCCATCAACTGATGACAAAGGGCAGCCAAATGATCCCAGTCAATCTAGTTTCACAGGTCTTTTGAAGAGAATGGAACAAAGAGGTGTTATAAAGAGGGTGACATTGCAATCTGAAGCAGAATCATGTGAAGGGAAAACTGATTGTGTGACCTCTAAAAAACGTTTGGTTCCTCCATTGCATCCTCTTCTGCGAATTGCCACCACTGAGGTTTTTAAAGATCCTGCTGATTGCCATCCTTCTTCCTTCATGGGACACAGGGTGTATCCTGTGGCCAAGGACACCTCTCCTTTCCAACCAAATCCACCAGCTGAGGGCCCCATTGTAGAAGCATTAGAACACAGCAAAAGAGGAAACACAACATCCCCTCTAGATTCTACCTCAAAAGAAATGGAGGTCATGGGTTGTAGGTTTTACCATGCTGCTTCCATTGCAGCCCGAGCTGCTAGCTACATGGCCTATATGACTCAATATCAGCGTAAACTCTGGGAAGACATGGAAGATCTGGTTCATGACCCAGAGTTTGATCGTGGAAAAGCACGATGTATAATATCTGATGGTATGGATGCAGGCCTTTGGCAGCTTTGTACTACTAGGGATATAATGGACTCTGTGGTCAGAGTGATGGCCATGGCAATAGACTACAGAAGGCAGGCCTGGCTCCGACTTACATCTCTCACTAAGAAAACCCAGGAGAAGATCTCACACTTGCCTTTTGATGGTACTTCCCTTTTTGGACAAGATGTGAAAGCTGTTGTTGCAGAAGAAAACAGTATAAAAGAAAATGACTATAAAGATAAATACTATAACCAACATCGATACTTTTATAGTCATGATCAGAAAGCACATTATCACAGTAGAGGATACTACAAAGGGGATTGGTACAAACCTCGAAACCACCCCTACAGATATAGAAAAAAGGGAGAATCTCCAGAACGCCATGGGTACAAGAATTAATAACCTGTTCTGGTTCAGAATAGTCATCCAAGATCCCAACTATTTTACTTGTTTCTGCCCACACAAACAGGATCTACAGGTAGGAAATCATCTAAAAAACTGAATGCATGTCTGGAATGATCACAGCTGTCATTTAAATTCTAGACTTTTGGAATGAAGCATATAATAAAGAAACGTGTGCTTTATTGGCCAAGTGAGCAGTAGAGACTTGAAAGGAATGTTGGGCAAAGATTTATTCATTATTTCTGGTCCAAAATATGTCCAAAGGAGGACACTCAGGAGTCTGAATCACATGATTGAAGAAAAACATATAGGTTTGTTCCTCAGGAAAATTTTTGGTAAACTGAGGACTAGCAGATTTTGGATCTAGAAATAACCTGCTACTAGATCGTTGTTTTCTAAGACCAGAGGTAAATTCTTCATTTTTCGGTCATCACTACTTCCTTGTACAGGCTTTAGTTTGACAGATTTTCACAAAATGATGAGTCTGTTACATTCTCTTTATGTCAAGATCGTCAGCTCACCAAGAAGTCACACTTCTCAAGCTCTCTGAGACTTCAGAATGAGCCGTGAAGCTTTGTATCAACTGGAATTCAAATCAAATTTTGCCAAATTCAGTTTGCCTCCTCTTGGAATGGCTAGATGTCATAGGTCTACTGTGGACACCAGCTGGAAAAAGACTATTCTACCTGTAACATCTCTAGAAATTTTCACAGTAATTGTCTTCGTCAAGACTGATGGCCACCATACCATCACCACCACTCATAAAGCTACACATGAGAGAATTCTTTGTTATCACCAATCCTAATAGTCTTTGACCTATCAAGGAAGCTCTCATATCAACAGACTGTGAGACTAAGTCATGGTAGCTTCTCACTGTAACTTGGGCCTTTCACCAAGATGGCCTTCCTAAACAAACTTCTAAACGGTTAATTATTTTGAGTTTGATAATGTATCACATTCTAAATACAAAAAAGATATGCACATCAGTGCCCTGGGCATAAAGGATGTTAAACCATACCATCCAGGCATGCAAATCTGAACTCTTTAAGAGCAAGAATTCCAGACATGCCTGACAATCTGATCCCTTTATTATAGTAAAGATGGATGCCATCAATCTGGATTTTGTTGAGAAATCCTTAAGATTTAAAGTACAACTGTGGATGTAATGAAGACAACAAGCCACACAGTTCTATTTCTGGATATCTACAATAGTCATGATATCCATTAATGATTCTTGAAAGGCTGAAATCAAGACTTCAGTGACATATTCTTGGTTAATTGGTTACTTAATTTAGTCAGACTCTTATTGTAAGAGACGGCTTATCTTTTTGCTCCTGATTGGTCCCAGTAATAGTTTTTCACCATGTTGGAATTGGCAGCAGATACCTCAACTATATGTCTCACAATTCTTCTCCTTAATCTCAAGGTAGTGGCTGTACAATATATCAGCCCTTAGATCCTTATCTACATAACATGATTTCAGGAATGGAGAAAATGTCAAGTTTGAGGGATCTGAGCACATCACCTAGTATTATTTACTTGGCAGCCCCCCCAAATTTTTCTTTAATTAACAGACTTATTCTGTAACTTCTGCCTTTTTTCCACCTGCTGGATCAAGGTGTTTTGGGTGTACCGTTAGTGGAATATAGCGCTGTTTTAGGGTTTATGTGTTTTCTGTTCTTGCCATAGTTCTTGCACAGTGGTAATTGACATTTTCGCTGGTGTCCCACTAAAAAATAGTTTATCTGAAGCTTATTCCTCTTCCCTGTCATAACCATATTCAGCTCCCATTTTAAAATAGACTTTTCTTCCTTTCCCTATTTGTGCTACAGAAGTTGAAGGCACAAAGTTTCCTGCTTAGAAGAGGATATATTATTTTGTCAGATAATTTCAGGGTACTTTATTGGTTTTGTTTGTCCTCTCTGTAGATTAAACTTGAACTAGCCTTGACACAGGGGTGGTAATTTTGCAAATTTAGCAGAGTCATTTCTAGAGTTAATATTTACCTATTTTTCAGTCTTATTTCCACATTTTTAG